AGTCTGGTTAAGTAGTCAAGGTGTGAATGGATAATGGGCCAAACTAGGACTGTAGAGAGTAAATTATAAGGAAGAAAAATCTTAAAACTTTTGTTTCCTTTGCAGGAAAGTTGCACAGGGCTTTGAGAGGGCCATGGGGTGACAGTTTTAGAATGACTTTGGTGTAGGAGTTGCTCTCAGACTTCTGGGAGGGTGGGTGTTCTTTAGGGACAGCTGTCAGAATTGTCACTCAGAGTCTGTACAGTCCTCTGTCCGCCATTGCTTTCGTTTGGTTCTAATTATGGTGGTGGTCTACAGAAAATAATAGAAAAATAGGAATTGTAGTCATGTAAAAGCTACTCATAGTCAACATGCCAGAGCAGGAAAATGCTATTTTTTTTTTTAGTGAAAGAATGCTTGGAGTTGTGGGAAAATTGTAAACTTGGCAGTGACTAATTTAAGTCACTCAGTCAATTAAGTGAAATTTTGTTTTATCATTTGTTTTATTTGGGAGCTGCTGCAATAGTCATTGAAAGGGCATCAATCTTCCTATTTTTAAAACAAAACAAAAATATCATTGAACATTAGGGCAAAGGACAAGAATTTCAAGGCTATACCTTTTGACTTTAGCAAATATTTGTCACTCCATTTTTCTTGCTGAATTTTCAGCGTTTGACTCCGAGTTTGCAGTGTACTCATTTGTTCATAATGCCCAAGCATTTCCGTTTCTTGTATTCTGTTTCAATGGCTCTTTAAATCTGTAAGTATTCTTAATGTTTTCATATGCCAATGAATAGTGCTCAAATGTATTTTTAACTCTTTTGAACCAAAAAATTCTTTAAACTTGCTTCAAGAAATGGCCATGTGGAGTGCTCTGCCCTAAATGGGACATCTGTAGCATACCCCACACCCAAAGGCTCAGAGCATATCACGAAAGAGGAGGCAGAAAGATTGTAAGAGCCAGAGGCGATGGATGACTGCAACGAAACAGTGCTTTCTTGAGACAACAGGGGAGTTGCGCATATGAACTCACAGTGGTTATGACAGGATGCGCAAGACCTGTGCAAGCTCAAGCCAAACAGAATCCCAGCATGGAGGAGGGAGGTGGGTATGAAGCCCAGCCCTAGCTGAGGAACTATTGGCAATTGATAGCTGCTGGGAAAGAGTTCGTTTTCTTTAAGGCTATGACCCCCTGATAGGTTGACCAAGAAATGAATGAACTCACACCCAAGAGGATTTGGGCAACAAATTGGACTCAGTGATGTTTAAAAATAAAAAGAGGACATGAAGTTGGGGTGGTAGTGAGGCAGAAGTGGGTCTGAGAGGAGATGGGGGAGGGGGTCGAATATGATCCAAATACACTATGAAATTTTTAAAAAACTTAATGAAAATATTAGTAATGGTAATAATTAAAAAGATACAGCCATGAGAGAGCTCTTTGGTATTTATCTTTGGAGTGGTGAGGGGCACCGTTGACTCTTCTACCTTTTATTATTTACAACTTTTAAAAATCTTGCGTGTAGTAAATAATTTTACAGAGTATAGCAGTACATCATCAAATTCACTTTATACCTAATCTTCAAAGGACAAAAATTTTTGTATTTCTGTAACTGGAAATGTCCTTTTAGTTTTTCATTGCTTATTAAATTACTATGTTGCTGAAGATTTCAGATCGTTATTCTGGAAGTTTTGAAAATGAGGCATCTTTTATCTGAACCATTTAGTCTGAATAAATGATTTTACTGAGTGAGAGCAGGTTGATCAGTTCTTCTGCTAAAGGAAAGGAGCCAGTAGCTATCTCAGCTATATTTATTATTGCATTTATGGCGGCTTTGAAAATATGTTTTTAATGGCACATATGCCAGTGTTTGAGACTCCCATAATAACACAAGCCGGGTAAATGAATAGCAGTAGGATGAATAAGAAGTCTGAGCTCTCTGTTACCATCACAAGTATAGCTAATTAAGAAGCTATTTGGGGTTCACCTCTCTTCGGTTTCTTAGGTGGAAGAGTATTCTGAAGGACATGATTAAGGCATGGTTGCCATGACAATCACATTCAAAGCATCTAAAAGAAGAAAATGAACTCATGGAGATCAACCATTTTGATTGATTTAACAGTCTTTTTTTAAAGTTCATTTAAACAGCTATTGTCTTCATTTTATTTTTCCACATAATTCACTCTGTTGACAATTTGGGGGATCATTTAATCTTGACTGTAAATAGCTATAGGTTCATCTGTGTCTGTAACTTTGGTTAAACCATACATGATCATCTTAAATAAATATCAGTAAAATGAAATGTCTGGCTTATCCCAGAATAACAAAATGGCTTGCCTAATTTCACTTCTTAATTTGTAAGAACAGGATAAGATTAACATGGTTTATTTGAAAGCATGACTGACCCTGATGTATTTCAGTATTGTTTTGGATTTTTTTTTTTTTTGTCATCAGC